CAGTCACGGTAACTCAAACCGGAAACAAGTGAGCCGCATTAGCTCCTGGAGATGTGACGTCAACACCGTAGGTGCAAAGAGCCCATTTATGCTAGGTGACATAGCAGCTTGATTGTGTGCTGAAATGCCAACTATGTGCCTGGGAAAAACATAACACTGAACCAAAAATACTTTTTTTTTTTTTTTTTTTTTGATCCCAAAAGGTAACTAAACTAACACGTTTATTCATCGCTACGCAGACCAGGTGCATTCTGGGATTGAGGCAGATGCGACAGAAGGAAGCTAGAATCGGACCCAGAGCTGTCCCCGGCTCCCGGACCGGATCGTCACGTGTCCCGTGTGGTGGGCTGCGGTCAGTCGCTGCTGTACTCCAAACTGCCTGTTTTTGTAAATTTAAACGCTTCATTTCTCTTCATAATCCTCGTATTGTTTAACAAGCTACAGCAACGCTGCAATTGCGGTTCGCAGCGCGGATTACACTGCAGCTTCTCGGGCCGATTGTGTACAGAGAAAAGGAACAATTACTCTGGGCTTAACTTTGATGAGGAGGAGGAGGAGGAAGGTGGTTTACTATCTGTGCTACGGAGCAGAACAAGATTCCCCCTTCTTGGAAAACATGCATAAAACTACAGCCACAGGCTTCAGCTAATTCAACATGATGTTTTTTTTTTGTTTTTTTTTTACTTTTGGTGCTCGCATAAAAAAAAAGAAAAAAAAGTTCCCCATCATCACACTCATATGGAGATCGATATCAGGGCTGCGAATCTCTCCTGTTCTCAGTCAAACTAGGCCAGAGTCGGCAGCAGCACACGGTTCGGATTCTGATCTTTATCTGGAGCGAAGCGCATTCTGAGCAGAGCAGCAGTTTTTCGACACGGCTGGCCTTGATACGACCACACAGCACATCCTAACCACCGACACGCAGCTCTACCAGGAAGACTCTCTGCTCGTCAGATCCACATGGCTCCGTATCTACAATCTGATGTGATTAAAACGGCTCCCGCTGGTTTCCCCCCGCCAGGCAGTGCCGTAAACTCGCAGCCTGCCAGCAAATGCTTGTTTTCGCACATCCGCTGATAAATTCTCCTGACTGCGGCTTCTGGCGGCAGATACGGCGAGGAGCTGAACGGACGAAGCAGCGACGTGCCCGTGATCCTCATCTGGGTTGAATGGGACCTGGTGATCATTTAAATGTGTGGAAGACAACAAGTTAAGTTGGACTGAGCCACGTTGGCATATTTGGCAATAAAACAAACTAAAAAGCAAAAAACTGGATTGTGTTGAAAGGGCGGCAGGGAACCCAAACAGGTTAATCACGTTTGCGAGGAGAGAGAGTACACAGTCGTGCCTCATCCTGATCCGGAATCAGGATGAGGCTTCAGGAAACGCTGAAATAAAAAAAAGACCCACTGCTGTCATGTTACAACTGAGAACTGATTTAAAGGGGCAGTATCGTGTAAAGTCAACTTTTTTCAGCTTTACATCAAAAATCTACTTTATGCATGTTTGAGAAATCCTTTAATAAGACGAAGCTCCTCCTCTGAGCTGCAGTTTCCAAGCTTCAGCCTCACAGAGCAGCCCTACCCCGCACCTGTCCCCTTCTCGGCTCCTTCAGACTAGCCAGCAGCAATTAGCAAACACCTGGTGGAACTGCGCATCAGCCGGAGCTCATTATAGGAGCTACTTCTCAGTGAAACACTGGTAAAAACGTTGTTAAAGGGTTAATACAGGTCAGATGTCATGATGACTTCCTGACGGTGGAGTTTCAGAAAGAGCAGGAGCTTCTTAAAGAGACAGAGGCCCAATTTCCAGGTGTTAAATTACAGTCAACTTGTCTTATTTGATATAGCAACTGAAGGTGACATGATTACTTGACTGTACTACAAAATAAGTGCTTGTGTCTGGAAAATACATAACACTGCCCCTTTAAGTGATCCTTGATGAGTAAAACAAACCCTTAGGACACAATGTGAAGTTTTTTAAAAGCCTGAACAAAATCAGTACCTGAATGCACGATGATCTTTCTTTCTTATTGTTATACATCTGTCAAACCAAACAAAAAGTCACAGTGTAATTCGTTTTTTTTTCCTTTTGTTTATTTGTTTATTATGTCAACCTCAGTTATGGAATCATCGGTCATTCTGATGGTACTGAATATTCTTTTTGCTGGTGCATTTCTCTTCAGACTTTGTTTGGAAAACGTAAAATCTGCCAACTTACGTCAGTTTATGACGCATAAACACAAGGTAAACAAAAGTGTAAAAGAGCTCGAAAAGAAGAGGTGAAACAATAACAAGTGTATACAAATATTCCAATCCCATCATTTTCCAACATCTGCCTCCCCTTTTCGTTTTGTGGCTGGTGGGTCAAAGTATTTTTCTCCACTGATGGAAACTGTTGTAGCAACTGTGGGATGGTCCTTCTGAAGCCTGCTTTTCATAACAGAATCATTATTTCATGCAGCCACACAAACGTTAGGAAGTTACACAGTCTTTACATTCAGGACTTAAAGCATGTTTCCAAAATTCAAGCAAAAAGGTGAGAGATCATATTTATGCTCAGAGGCTCTGAGACTGGATGTACAGGTTCTTATCAGATGCTTTATTACTTTCAAACAAAATAAAAAACAGGCCGTTTATTTCTAGGAAGTTCCACACTTGCTTAAAACTACAGTATGCAACTGATAAAAAAAAAAAAAAGTTGTTTACAGATTTGTTAAAACTGTCACCATGTCATGACAATACTATGAGAAAGATGATCTGTGAAAAGATTGAACTCCATCTAATCTCTGATCTGCTATTGATGTGTGAAAAACTGCAAAGTTCCCAGTCAAAACCAGCCAATCAGAGCCTGGAGGAGGGGCTTAACGCCATCAATCAATCTCATTTATGTGCCGCTAAATGTGGAGAAACAACTTACTGTTACAGGAAAACTATATCTGCTGTTAGAGGCTATGCTAACTAGCCTTAGCATTCACTGCAGGCTCTGCTATCAGGAAGAAGCAGAGATCTCAGAGGGTGATTGACAGCACTAAGACCCGCCTCCTGGCTCTGATTGGTTGTTTCTACTTTGCACTGGGAGAAGGGACAGGAGCTACAAAAATCTTTCACAGATTATCTGTCTCATCCGGTTATGTAATGAGCTAAGACTGCATTTCATCAAATATATATCTGTATCTATTTGTCCTCTGCTAACAGAGCTAACAGTATCGGCGGTTTCTGTCAGAGACTTGCTGCTTGTCTTTGTTAGTGGAAGTTATAATTAGGCCCAGTAAGGTCTGGAAGGTGGGTCTTGAAAAAATGTTACTACCAGCCACTACCCTGCACACAGGTAAGGCTGGAGGTGAAAGGTCATGAATGACATGGAGACACTGCTGTGACCATCCTCAGCTGAAAAACACATATTTCATTCAAATTTTTCTTAGACTCCTCAGTTTAATTATTTTATTTAGTAATAAGTAATGAATCATGTCTTTAAATGGTAAATACATTTTTGAAAAGAGCTACAAAATGCCTCCTCTAAGATGATGTGATCCGAGACAAAGCTGCCAGCTGGCCTGGCCCATTACAGCTGCGATTCTATTGAACGTGTAATTGTACAATTTGACATTTGCAAAATGAATTTGCTTTAAGGAAACGCTCCAATTTCAAACAAAAAGAGGTTTTGGCGCCAAGACAAGGTGTTTTTTTTGTGTGTGTGACTGTATTAAAATTGGTCTGCTTCAGAAAACACCAATGGAAATACTTTTTTCGCACCACATGAGTCACATGATCAACAACCGAATCGAAAACCACAAAGAACAAGTTGACAGGAAGTGGTAGGGGGTTGTTTTTTTTTAGATAGCTTATTTTGTGAACAAATTTACTCATGCGTGCTTTTAATTGCGTTTCTTATTTACGGTAATGAAAACAACGCAATTGTGAAATTGTGTTTTTTCGACAGTGGAAAGTTTTGCACATATTTGCAACAGAAACACAGCTAATGTCGGCCCATCGGGTCCGACCAAGACCGACACTCCAGAACTAATTTACGGCATGAGAGTGAGAGAATTCACTCTGAAAAGAAGTGAAGTGTCTAATGTCGTGTTTTAAGTCTCAACTTTCAACGTTGTTTCAACCGTTGTAAATTAAAACGTGACTGTCTTGTGTACTCTGGTTTATCAACCATCAAAAGACTTTTTTCAAGACTTTACAGGTTTTATTTCAAAAATAGTACAAATGTATGACATATTGCTGGAAATTGATGATTTCCACACACATGTCTGATGTGTCAGTTGGACCCAAATGGAACCAGAGGCAGAGAGATGGAATGAAAAACGTTTAATGGTGGAAAATTAAGACTTAACAAAACTGGCACGAGGAGACCTGGGACATGGAAATGAAAAATCCAGCACTAACAAAAAACAAAAACAAAACAGGAACTTAAATAGTGAGACAGGAGAAGAGAATGTCTCAGAACCAGCTGAGCTAATCAGAGGGAATGTGAAATAGCTGTGGGGATATTGGAACAGAGAAACTGAATCTAATTAAGACAAACTGAGACACAGAAGGATCTACACACCAAAAGGAAAAAAACTAACACGGGTTTCAAATGATAAATCAAAATGCCAAAACATAAGAAACAGAAAGAAAATCCCAATAACCGAGTGTGGCAATCTGACAATAATGAACCCC